GCGCCATCAATCAATTAATTGAGTTCGAAATATTGCAATTAATTGCCCCCACAATCAATTATTCGGTAGGCCTGGTATTTCCCTAACGCTACGTAAGGTAGATTAATAGACCGTGTAACGATTTCCTAATCTGGGACGATTTCTGCCGAAAACATATATATTAAGTTTCTCTTTCCCCTTAATTACAAATTATTCAAATTTTTCTTTTAATATCCAAATGTCAGTGAAGAAATCGACGACCTCTATTTACCTACTTGAACTTGAAGGTGATGGATCACTTAGCAAAAGAAAGCAGTTTATACGGCTACCTCCACCTACAAAGCCTTATATTCTTCGCTTTAGTATTCGTGCTGATTCTCTTATTTCAAAAGAAGGGGTTTTATATACCAACCATCCCTTAGATGAGTAAGTCTTTTAAACATGAAATTGTATTATTTTTATCCAATCCGATCAACGATTTTATTTTTTCTAAATTTAGTGCAGAATTCGATAGGAACAAATTTTATCCAAGGAAGTAAGTTATATTTTGTATTTAAATAGAATCGCATCTTAAAACTAATTAAAAAATGGTGCTTTTAATACATTTTTAAATTAGGTTTCCAAAATTATTTTCGAAACCTCTTCATGTTGATATTACAATCAAGAGATCAGGCGCATTCGAATTCTATGCTGAATATAAGGAATCACAAACAAATTCAAAAAACTTCGATGAAACTGTAAAAACATCAAAAAGATGTTATTTTACGGTTGATCCGATACTTGAAATGGTTCCTCGATACAGGATATTATCATCGGAACCAATATCATATGAGTCCAGAATCACAATTCCTCTTGATGGTATTGTCATTCAATCCGTCCTACCTAAATTACTTGGTCCTTTTTCTCAATGGGACGAACACATCAAGAATATTTCTGATCTTGGTTATAATATGATCCACTTTTTACCTATGCAATCTCGTGGCATTTCTAACTCTCCATATTCTATATTTGATCAGTTGGCCTTCTCAGATGATTTGTTTGAAGAAAAAGATCGTGTAAAAAGTTTATCAGAAAAAATTGAAATCGTAAAAAAAACTGTAAACAAGATTGATGAAGAATATGGAATCTTAAGTTTAACTGATATAGTTTGGAATCACACTGCATGTAATAGTGAATGGCTTCAAGATCACCCAGAGGCTGGTATGTGTTAACTTTGTTATTATTATAATCCCTTAAATATTTGGAAAAAAATTTTTTTTTCACTTAATTCACTCAATACTTTATCATACAAATTTTAGGTTATAATTTAGTAAATTCTCCACATCTTATTCCTGCTTACGAGTTAGATACTGCATTGTTAGAATATTCCGAAAATATTTCTTCACTTGGTTATAAGGCTCACGTCCAATCTGAAGAAGATTTGAAAGCAATTATTGAGGGTGTTAAACAACATGTTATTGATAAAATACGTTTATGGGAATTCTATGTTATTGATGTCAAAGAAGCATTAAGTGAATTTCAAGCAGCATTAGATAAGAATGCATCAGTTGACAAGTCTTTATTTGAAAATATTGACATTGCTGCACTTTCATTTAAAGAACAGGCCAACTTATTAGTCGATAAAGGGTTATATAATAAAGGCACTTTTGGCCAGCGTTTCTACAAAAAAATAAATATTGACATTGCTCTTGCTTTTATTGAGAGGTTGATTGAGACTGAAGCAAAATACAAAAGTGTGAATAATGATTCTAATGTATCAATTGAAGATTCATCTCCGAAGGAACAATTAGATACGGATAAATTGGAAAATACCAAAGATAAGCATGACTCGGAACCTAAATATACTCTAGAATCTATTTCTTCGAAAAATACCCTTATCAAAAAAAGTAATGAATTGAATAAATTAGATGACAAGAGCAAGGTTAAAGAAACTTCTGAAAAAGTTGACAATATAAAACCTATAGAAGTAAATGAGGTAAAACCGGAGGAGGCAATAAATGAAAAGTCAATACATGAAATTATGCTGGAAAAATTCAAAGCAATTATCAACGAAGTAAACTTGCCATTTTATAAATTATATGACGATGAGGTTGTCATAATTCTTGAAAATTTGTGGAATCGTGCCAAATATTTGAAACTTGATCCTCATGGACCCAATCAAAAAGAAATAACTCGACGGTAATTTAGTAATTTTGTAGAATTTGAATAATTGATTTCAATTCATATTGACATACGATGAATTTACTAGTGTTCCTCTCGTTGAGCAGTATTTTACTCGTATTCCACTTAATGAAAAAACGCAAAAGCATCCAAAAGGATCTTTGGCTGTTGTAAATAATGGTTGGATTTGGAATGCAACTCCCTTGCAGGATTTTGCAAGTAAAGAATCGTTTTCTTATTTACGAAGAGAGGTGGTCGTTTGGGGTGATTGTGTGAAGTTAAGATATGGTAAAAGCAGGGTAACGTGATTCATTATGTTCAATATTGCCTGTAAGCATATCTTTACAGTTTTGACATAATACCCCATGTTTGTTATATTTTTTTTTATAGGATGATTCGCCTTGGCTTTGGGATCATATGACAAAATATACTGTGCAGCTTGCATCGCTTTTCCATGGGTTCCGTATTGACAATTGTCATTCCACTCCACTTCATGTCGGACAACATCTTCTCGATGCCGCCCGTCGCGTCCGACCGAACCTTTATGTTGTCGCAGAATTATTTACCGGTTCGGAGGAAATGGATATAAAATTTGTGAATAATCTGGGCATTAACTCTCTCATTAGAGAGGCCATGCAAGCTTGGGATTCGCATGAGTTAAGTAGATTAGTTCATCGTCATGGTGGAAAACCTGTTGGTAAGTATGTATATCGTGTATTAGCTTATTAGACATCATATAGAAGCTTATATTGTTTTACTTGTTATTAAATCAAAGGGTCTATAGATGATGCATGTCTCTCAGACACATCAACTTATACAGATGCTAATGAATATTCAGAAACGCCCTGTTCCATTGTTCCCTTGACAGGATCCAACCCGCACGCACTTTTCATGGATTGTACTCACGATAATGAAACACCTCATCAAAAGAGAACTGCAGAAGACTCTTTATCAAATGGTGCTCTTGTTGCCATGAGTTCTTGTGCTATTGGAAGCGTCAAAGGATATGATGAAATTTATCCAAAGACGGTTGATTTGGTAAACGAAACTAGACCATATAAATTATATGAGAAACCTCTCGAAATTGGTATAGCAAGAGGCAAGTGAATTCCAAATTTTTTTTTTTTTTAAATAATTCTATCGCAGTTATATGTATATATACTTATTTTATCCGTATTTTATGATTTTAGTTAAAAAAGTAATGCAGCATTTGCATGTTGAAATGTCATTGGATGGACATATAGAAACCCATGTACACCACGAAAATGATGTAAGTTCAACGGAACTAACAAACTTTATATTTCCAATTTATTAACTTTTAATTGTTTGATCTGTCTGATATTAGTCCATTATAGTTCATCGCGTGAATCCACACAACAATAATGGGTATTTATTGGTTGCTCATTGTGCTTTCTCTGGCCATATAAAAAGCGGTTATAATCGTAAGCATTAATACCTCTTATCCGTTATTGAAACATTGTGCCTTCTCAATTCATATTTTTACCTTATATTTATTCTTCAGTTACTCCTACCAAGTTAAGAGGTACGAAGGCCGAAGTACTCTTTTCTACATGCTTGGAAGTCCAATCCAAAGAATTTATTCGTGATGAAAAATATCTGACTGGGCTTCCGGCATCACTTAAGCCACTTAACGCTCCTATATTACGCGAATCATCTGATGAGCACGGAAAATATACTGAAGTTACGCTTCCGAAAGAATTTCCTTCTGGCAGTATCACTCTTCTTAAAACGAAGGTGGATAAACATAATTCCCTAGATGAAATGCTTATATCAGGTGTTGACGAAGTTTTTAAAGAGTTAAACTTGGTCGATTTGAATATAGTATTATATCGATGTGGTAGTGAAGAAAACGATGTTATACCTGGTCACGGCACATATAACATACCTGGCTATGGTGATCTACCATATTGTGGTTTAGAAGGATTTATGTCGGTTTTACGCCCAATAATGAAAGAAAATGACTTGGGTCATTCGTTTTGTGCTAACTTACGTGAAGGCCATTGGGCTTTAGACTATGTTGTGAACCGTCTTGTTAGGTAATTATATAATTGTCACGTTTACAAATTATATGTCAAACTTATTATAACATGCCAATATTTCATTATAGCTATTTAAAGTACGCACCAAACCTAAAAGGACTATGCGATTGGTATCAAGAAAGATTTGCAATTGTAAAGACAGTACCGGGTTTTTTAGTTCCAAAATTTTTTTCTTTGGTTATAAAGACAGCACATTCTGCAGCAATTAAACGAGTTATGTCGCAGTTATCACCCTGCGCGTACGAAGGAAGTTTATTTATCCAATCACTTGCTTTGTGTTCAGTGCAAATGTATGGAATAGTTTTGTCTACTGGATTGCACCCCACAGAAATTGGTCCATCGATGGCCGCAGGGTTGCCACATTTTGCTACCGCCCACATGAGATGTTGGGGACGTGATGTTTTTATTTCATTGCGTGGTCTATTCCTTACTACGGGTAATTTTGAAGCTGCTAAAAAACATATAATTGGATTTAGTAGTGTACTTAAACATGGAATGATTCCAAATTTATTGGATGCTGCACGTCGACCACGTTATAATTGTCGTGATGCAGCATGGTGGTTTTTGCAATCCGTACAAGATTATTGTAAATTCTCTCCGGAAGGTTTAGATTTTCTTAAGACACCTGTTACACGACGATTCCCTAAAAACGATGAATTTATTGAAGTGGATGATCCTCGGTCCTATAAATACGAAGTTACTATTCTTGAAATTATTCAAGAAATTATGGAACGACATGCTTGTGGAATTCATTTCAAAGAATGGAATGCAGGTCCCAACCTTGACCATGCTATGACTGATAAAGGATTCCAAATTGATATTGATGTTGATTGGGAAACTGGCTTTTTAAATGGTGGAAACCAATGGAATTGTGGTACTTGGATGGATAAGATGGGAGAATCAGATAAAGCCGGAAATAAAGGTCGACCAGCTACACCAAGAGATGGAGCAGCAGTTGAAATTATTGGGCTATTAAAATCTACTTTGCGATGGATAACAGAATTAAATAAAACTGGTCATTATCCATGGAATGGTGTTGAGCTTAAAGGTATACAACGCTTATATTAATAACACGCTAATCCAGCACGTTAAATAGAAATTGTTGCAGACATAATAATTTTTTAAATATAGAATGTCCTACGAAGAAATTTGTTACATTTGCCGAATGGAATGATTTAATCCAACAATCGTTTGAAAAACATTTCTATATTCCTACCGGTGAGACCTACTGCATTACTTAGCCACTTAAAATTTTATAAATTCATTTCTGACTATTTACTGATTTTTTACTGTTTAAATTAGACCCAAATGAAGATTCAAAATACAAATTGAATTCCCAATTGGTTAACCGTAGAGGTATATATAAGGATTTATGCAATTCTTCTGGAGAATTTCAAGATTATCAATTGAGACCAAATTTTCCGGTTGCTATGGTTGTGGTACGCATAATGTCTGATATATTGTTTTTAGAATATAAATATAAACAGGCACCAGAATATAATTATACTTTTGTTAATTTTATATAATCAGGCGCCAGAACTATTTGATGAGCATCATGCACTTCAAGCATTGAATATTGCACGCGAGGTATTAGCTGGACCATTAGGAATGCGTACACTTGATCCAAGTGATTTGGCATATCGAGGCGTTTATGATAACAGCAATGATGGCATTGACCCATCTATTGCTAAGGGATGGAATTATCATCAGGGCCCTGTAAGTAGTATCATATTTACCGTATAGGCGCGTATTAACGCGCATCGGCACGTTATTTTGGGACACACGTGTGCGATATTTCGAATAATTTAGCATTAGACATAACAAATTAAATTCAGATCGATAGAGGCGCGTTATTTTGAGTCAAAATATGCAATTTTCAAAAAAGCGAAGATTC